TTTTCATCATATTGATATGCAAAAATTATAATTTATAGTACTTTTCGTATAATTTTTAAATATATAAATTTTTAGTTTAAAATATTTGAATTAATGTAATCTAATTTAGCTTTGATAACTAATCAAATTAACTTTCGAAAAATACAACTCAATAACTAAAAACGAAAGTCGAAAAGCACAATACGACAATTAAAAAAGACGGGAGGGAATAAATCAATACAAAAATCTTCTTAGAGGGAGAAGACATATGACATAAATAAGTTCTTCCAACAGTATAATTGAACGCTAAGACTATTTAGGCCAAATTCTTTTGACTATTTATCTCTTTATATCTTTGCTTAACTTCTTGTTTGGTACATCTTTTTTTTTTCTAACTAAAAGATACTACTAATGAGTAATGAGTATTCTTCAGTTTAGAAAAGATTGACTTATTTTTTTTGGTCCATTTTTAAAAAAAATTTGTAATATTTTAATTTCAATTTTTCATGTGGCATGTTTAAGACCACAAGATTAAAGAGCAATTTTGTACGTCTAACATAACTTTAATTTAGAATCACAAGATTTAAAAATCTTTTTTATTTTCTTAAACTCCATGTCAAGTCAAGTTATGTCAAATTTTTTTAAACGAAGGAAATATTATAGTGGAAAACACATACACAAAATAGTAATAAAAAAGACAGATAGAAAAACGTGTAAAAAAAGGGTGAAATAACATGGGAAAGGTTAGAAAGTGGAGATAAGAGTGTGACAAGTAAACAATCAATGGAAATTGAGGGGACACTTTAGGTGTCACTACTCACTACAAGTGGCCAATTATTGTCCTATAAGACTTTACAATAGTGAAATTTCGTATTTCCACCGTTCTATATTAGTCGTCTATTTTTTTACACGTTTCTTAAGAAGTTATAAATGAGAGAGATTGTTTTACTAATTTATCTCTTGAAAAACGGTTTTAGAACTTTAAAAACATGTTTATATTTTTAAATGAATTAATTGTAAGATAAAAATAAAAAATAATAATTAATTATGTCTTGATTTTGTAAATTGACAAGTAATTTGAGATACCTAATATATAACGGAAGGAGTAATAGAAAAAAAAAGAGGGGGGGAGGGGGGGGGGTGAGGATGAAATATTTATTTTAACTATCGTTTATCTCATTTGTGGAACAGAGTTGGGTCCATAGCTCAGTGGTAGAGCATTTGACTGCAGATCAAGAGGTCACCGGTTCGAACCCGGTTGGGCCCTTTTTTTGAAAAAATATTTACTTTCTTGAGCATCTGGTGGTTTTGGAGAGATTATCCTAGCTCCATGATTACATAAATATAAATAGTTTACAAAATAAATTAAAATTTAAACTTTCTCGAACTCTAATACTTTTTTCATCTACCTTTAATTTCGATCCATCACACATCTCTGCATTAAGTTATGAGTAATTTGGATTACAAATGGCTCAAATTCTATCTTATTCTTCAATTTTAGTATTATTCGTTGATTTTTGTTGTAGTTATCGTATTATTTGTTTTGCTACTTGTTCTCTTCTTAATTGTTTTTAGGATGGCTTTTCGTTACTCTATTAGCTTTGTATATTTGATTTTTGATATGTTTTATTTGAGTCGAAAGTCTATCTGAAACAACTTTTCTACTTTCAAAAAGTAAGGATAAGGCTACATACATACCATCTACTCCAGACCTCACTTTATGAAATTACACTGAATATGTTAATGGTAGAATAAACTGCTCAAATTTATCCAAATTTAACTTTGCTTGCACATTTTTATTTGTTAAAGTATTCAATAACACAATATATTAGGTTAATCTTATACAAGACAAGAGTAGATATATATTTATGGCTGTTAGAATCTAATTTCTACTTGGTTTTTTTTCCCTTTAAGATTCTTGTACAATAGAAAAATATTTTTCTCAGAACAACAACTACTAATAAACTAGATAACTGAACAGCAACTTAATCTTAAAATGTCAGAACAAACAATTTTCTTTCAATAATTTAAGCAAAAGGTGTCAACCACTCATTTTTCGCCACGTAGACGATTTAAAAAAAAAAAAAACTATGTCAGGTCATTATGTTTACAACTGTTTTGATTTCATCAAACTGCTAAAGAACAAACTAATTAAGATATTATTTTTTCCTAATAAGAAAATAGTATAAGCCAGTTAGCCTATCAACAAAAGTTGTCTAGTGTTTTTGGGACAGTTCTTAATGCATAGTTGTATGTACATTGCATTTGCCTTTGCCCTTACATTTTTTAATTTTTTGTTTTGTTTTTTTAATCTGTTCTGTTCATGTAGTTTCTGTATTGAGTCTGTTAAAGAAAATGACCAGATGCATGTACATGCAAAAGGTACTCAAAGATTGCTTCATATTATAGGTTTGTGCCTCCTAAAGACTTTTTCTCGATTCCACTCGATGTCTGGTATTCATATTGGAGTCTGACAACATTCAGATTTTCGCTGCATAATCTCTGGTTAAAGGAGTAGCAACTCCATCCATTGGACCACATTCTTTGGTGGTGCCTCCTAAAGACTTGTAACCATCTTAATTAAATATTTTGTTTAAATGTTTGGGATAGCATTTAAACAAAGATTTATTGGTCAATTATTGTTGATGGAGATCTTAAGCAAAATTAATGACTTATTAAAGGAAAATATAGTTCAGTAAAGTAGAATCAATCACAAGAAAATTGAATGTGAAGGAGTCAGCCAATACTATGTGTTGCTTCTTAAGTTAGAAATGAAGCAATAAAAATAATTGTGATCTGCTATTCACATGATCCCTGTCATATTACTTTTCATTTCCTCACTTTACTTGTTCCATTTTATTTGATGGTAAACAGGCTAACTTACACGCACCTCGACTTATTCTGCTGGACACATGTTATCTCCCACTAGCATAGCATCAAGTAACTCTACCCACCAAGGCTTCAGCAAATAGTAAAGAGTCATCTAACAGTATTTTTAGTTTCTATTAACACTTTCATTGACTATTAAGCAACACACTTGGGAGTCGGGTATACGTTAATTCGAGATTATTCAAATATGAGCAGGATAACTTAGCCACATAGTCCATAGAAATGTACTTAAGACAAGCATGTCCACAATCCTGGAGAAACTTGACCAAAGGAAACTCAATAAAAAGTCATGTTGTTGCATAGGAAATGAAACAGTTCATTTCATAAAAGCAATAATGTTACATTAGGTAAAGATCATAGAAGAAAACTTCTTACTACACAGCTACAAAAGAGCAGAAATCTCAAACATGAAACAACCTTGAGAACTGTATGGCAAAAGACTGATACTGCCCATGCTGAAACTTTTGATCAACATTAACATGCAGATGATCAAAAAACTTAAACAGCGAGATCAAAATAACTGAAGTTTGGATTAAACCAAAATTGCAACACATATGACAAGATAGTCTTAACTTATTTATCAGATATCTCTATATACATTCTATAAGCAGCATTGGCTACTACTTGAGGGTTATCTCTTCCTTCTCCTTTGTTACACCATGCCGCCTAGCTTTCAACACTCTACAACATATGGTAAACAGAAATATCTTGACTAAGAGAGTTGTAAGCGATTAAAAATACACCTGATAACGAAGACCAATTATAATGGGATGTGCCAATCTTGGGGAACAAGCTATATCTATGAAGCCCCGACTGACTATATTTTTCACCAATATCCTGGCTAGTACCAAATTGGAATATCTTGCTTCGGTGTGGCATCACATCCAATGCCAGACAGACTTCCAGGGTAATTGGTGGACTGTAAGTTGAACGGAGGCCCAAACATGAAATGCATATTGTCACTTGAATTTAGGATCTTGCATTGATCAACAGGATTGCTTTGTGGGTGCATAGACTGACTTGCGGAAACATTAATATCTTTGAAGATATTCCCCTCCATCATCCCTCGACTGTGTAGGTAATTGACCTGGTCAACACGAGGTTGTTGATGAAGCTGCTGCTCCTTGGTCACTGCAACATTCCCCGTATTTTGGCTTTTGTTTCCTTGTATATTACAGTCATAGAATGACATAAGGTCATCAATCATCCTTTGCCCATCTTCAGGAACTCCTACTCCAAATAGATCAAAGGGAGGTGGACTTGGATTAACAGACAGAGCAACTGAACTTGACGGGACATATTGTTGAGGGAAGACAACTGGCTTGACTTCGTTCATGGGAAACTTTGAAACTCCAAATTGAGTAGTATTTCTGAAAGGGCAAGCCAGTTGATGATTGTCTCTCGCAGATCTGTCCTGAAACCCGTGGCGAAGTTCACTGTAAGGACATTGAAGAATCTCACACGTATAAATCTGAGCCATGGTAACAGTCTGTTCATTGGATTGCTTCCTCTTCCGGGTGAAATCTAAGTTGGTAATCATTTCATCCTTGATTGGATGAGACTGTTGTTGCAGAGGCAGCCTCTCGTTGAATCTCTCAACAGTGACATTCAACAAATTGAGATGGTGTGGTTTTTGCTCTTGAACATCAAAGCTACACTCATCTTGAGCACCATCAACATCATACTCACTGCTGTCATTCACAGTGAAAGTTCCACTACCACCAGCTGACGACAAAGGTGGACAACGATCAGGGTATAGTTCTCGAGCCAAAGCTTCCTCCTGATTGATGATAGCAAGCCAAGTTGCGCTTTCTTTTGCTGTCATCTTATCCTGCAAGCCCTTTGACTGCCTCACAAGCTTCCGGATTTTAGCAATATCAGGGGAAATGTGCTTGATCACTGCTGTTAGGACACCAACCTTCCACGCCTTCTTCAGATCATGAGGCTTTTTATAAGGTGGAGGACCTTGGTCCTTCTGCAAACCCAATTGAGGCCACCAATCCTCCTGTCCTGTAGGCCACCATGGGGGTGAAACGCCTTTCTCCAATGGAAATCTTCTCTGAGGAGGATCACAGTGCTGCATCAAAGCTGACAACAACGAACCAAGGGTGGTATCTTGCAGCTCCTGCAAGGTGTGAGGTGTAGGACCAACTGGATTTGATACCTCATTCTTGCCTGGAATGGCATGCTCAGCTTGGTATTTGGCTATAGACGCAGGACCATTGCGATCAAATCTCACTTTATCCTTCCACCACTCCCTAAGATTATCAGATGCCCCACCAACCGGCTTGCCTTTTTCCGGAATGATCCCATAAACAAAACCCTGAGCTTTACATACTTCCATCATTTTCAACATGTACTTCAAGATCCCATCCTGTGCCCTCGACATCTTCTTCCTCCTTGCCTGCTCCTGTGACTGGCGTCGTTTCACAGAATCAACATCTTCCATCCCCTGATTCATTTCTTTCAGCCTTTTCAGCTTCATCTTGTCCCTCCACACTCTCTTCTCTAGCTCATCCACATCAATATCCTCATCACTATAATCATCATCCACCACCTGCTCTGCCTCAGTCTGTGGAGCAGCCACCTCCACTTCCTTAAGCGGAGCAGGAAAGAAATCAAGATCCCCACAGAACCCCATTTCCTCAAACATCATCATCTTGACAAGAACAACACTCCTCCAAACAATAATCAAACACCAAACTTCAAGAAACCTAAACAGAATTAGCAGCTAACACCCAATTTTTCACAGATTATCCTGTCCTTTCTCAATACTCATCAATCGAAATCAACTAAATTACGCGATACTTGATCCTGCAAATACATTTAAAAGGGAAAATAAGAAAATCTCTTCACAAAGTACCACAAATGAATAACACAAAACACTGTTGACATATGAATATCTCAACACACAGGCAGTTCAACTAAAAGCTAAAAGGAGAGAAATAGGTGGCCTTTTTTACATTGGTCATAAAAAAAAAACATAGATTTTTGCACATGAAAGAAAAAACCAAGATAATCTCCCAAAAATATAAAATAGGTACAAATTATTTCCCGCGAAAATCCAAAAAAAAAATTAACATATTTTCCCAGATCTAAACCATCAATATTAATGAAAATCTGAATACCCAAAAAAAAAGAGTTTTTTTTTAAAGGAAAGTAAAAAGAATCTTGTAACTCACCCAACTATGCTAATGTTCATATATTATATACATCAGATGATAAATTATAAACAAAAAAGAAGGTAAATTCAACTAATAAAGAATCATAAACACATAAAAATCCAATCTTTAAGCAAAAGCACAAATCTTTACAACAAAAAAAAAACACCATTAAAGATCACTAATTAACAAAAGAAAGAACAAAAACAAATATTTGTAAAGAAGACAGAGACATAGAAATATTAGTATGTGAGTACCTGAATTTATGAATTTTGCAAAAGTGTATTAAACTCTTTCTCTCTACTTAGGAGAATAATTTGACCATGTTTTAGACTCTGTGGAAGCAGAGAAGAAAGATAAGTAAGAAATAGATAGAGAGGGGGGAGGGGGGAGGGGGACGTTATTAAACTACAACATTAATAATGAAATGTGAATATATTTATTACTCCCTTCATGCAAAATAAAATATTTCTTTCTTCCATTTTAATTTAAATAGGATTATTTTTATTTTAAAATATTTTTGACCATTTTGGAATATTCTTTTTTAGATATGGGAACTCCCATCTTTTTGCTTACTTATAACTCGGTTAGAGATGGTCATCCAAGCAACCCCTCTTGTCCTCCACCAGTGATTACCTATGATCCTAAAAAATGTGAAAATTAACAAATTTTAAATGCAAGATAAAAGGTTTTAATTTCGTTAAATAATTTATTATTATATTATCACTTAATTTAGTAAGTTAATATTATTTAAAATAAATAGTGTGTGAATTAAAATAAAAAATCAAGACTTTTAGCTTTGAGGTTGCATTTCTCCTTGATGCATGAATAAGTATGAAAAAAGTGAATAACTTTTATATGTGGAATAGTGAGTAATTATGAAATTTGTGTGCTTTTTAAAGATTTGGTGGAAGTTGCTTTCAAGAAGCCAAGGGGTCATATGATGGATGAACTTTCTTTCCAAGTGGGAATGCAATGAATTGGAAGTCTTCAAGTTGTGGCCATTGGGAAAAGGATGTTTTACTTTGTTTTTATCTTATTTTGTAAATGGAGATTTTTCTCGCTCGAATAAATTATAATTTGTATTTACAGAGTAATGAAAGCATTTTATTTTTATTTTTAGAGACTTAAATTCGAAATCTCTAATTAAAAATGAAGAGATTTCAATATATCGCAATTATATTTATGATTTAACCAATTATGGGATAGGATCAACCTAAATTCTACTATTGATTAGATGAATACCCTTTCATTTTTCTTTGTCTTAAACCTAATTTATTACCTACACCACACGTGCAACTTAATGATAATGCACAAATTTCTACAACATCCAATCCATACTACAGTATTATTTGGTAGCTTAAGAAAACCTTGGTTGTAAGAGTTTTCATTTAATTAATATTCTACATTAACGAAAATAATACTCTCTTCATTCTATATTAATTGAATTATTGAGACATTTTTTATTTTTCAAATTAATTGTTCAGTTTTCAAGACTACATTTAGAGTGTTTTTTCAATTTTACCCTTCATTAGTTAGTATTTGAATTAGTGATAAATTAATATTTAGTTATTTAAATCATAAATTTGACAATAATTAATAAGTGTAAAAATGAAAAACTATGTTTAATTTATGTCTTAATCTACTTTTCTTAAAGGGTGTAAAATACCTCAAAAATTCAATTAATATGAAATGGAAGGAGTGATATAGATTTGAAAAAAAAGTAACAAGTGACTTTTTTTTTCTTTTTTTTTTTAATAGTTTGCAAAACGACTAACATTTAATGATTTTTTTTAATGGTTATGCCTTACCTCCTTTCTTGAGTTTATACGGTTAGATAGAGTGTTTAGCGGACTTTGATTAATAAAAAATTAATAATCCTCAATGTGAATAAATACAACCAAAAGAAGTTAGGTGTTGTCAATATTAATGAGATAATAAACTTTTACTGATTAACAAGTGTAAAGAAAATAAGAACTAAAGAAAATTGAGTATTTGCAATTATCACGGAGAGTGAATGATATTACAAATGAAGAATCTTAAGTAATACAAAAATATAAATAAGAAGGTTGAGTTATCACTAAAAAATATAATTTATCCATTTAAAGTAATCATATGTATCTTTCGCTTTTCTTCTTTAATTTTGTCCAACAATATTAGATAGTTCATCACTTCTTAGATTTATTGAATATTGTTGAAGGATTGACATTGTCACATATTTCAGCTTTGTCACTTACAGTTGCAAGTGACCTGAAATAAATTTCTTAGTCACCTTACCAGACATGCATATATGTGTTCATGTCGTTCATTTGTCTTTTTATTGCTTCCACTTTTTATTGTCTAGGTGGGAAATGTCCATCCCTAATCACTTTATCAAAGCTTATAAGTATCCAACATAAAATCTTCCTCGTCCTCCAAAAAAAGAAGAAGATATTTTCCTCAAATCGCCATTTAATCAAATCAAGAAGAAGATATTTTCCTCAAATCGCCAATTAATCAAATCAGCTGATCTAAGAGCAATTGTCTCCCCTAACGAATGATAAGAAATTTTTCGTTACATTTTAAAATAAAGAACAAATATATGTATATATATTACATTTATTTGAACATGTTCGAATTGAATTTGATGGATGATTAAAGTTCAATATCCTTGTGACTAGTTGTTAGATTTTAAAATGTGTGAATGGAAAATGAAAAGTTGTGACTTTTATGAAGAGTTGTGTGACTATTATGAAGAGTTGCGACTTTTATGAAAAATTGCAACTTTTATGAAGAATTGTGACTTTTACGAAAAGTTGTGACTTTTACGAAAAGCTGTGACTTTTACGAAAAGTTGCGAGTTTTATGAAGAGCTGTGACTTTTACGAAAAGTTGTAACTTTTATGAAAGGTCGTGACTTTAATGAAACGTTGTGACTTTTATGAAGAGTTCTGACTTTTATGAAAAGTTGCGACTTTTACGAAAAGTTGCACTTTTATGACGAAATGTGACTTTTATGAAAAATTGTAATTTTTCCAAAGGATTGTGACCTTTCCGATAAGACAAGAAACATTTATTCACACTATGTTTTGTTGTCTATAAATAGAGGGATTTCTTCTCATTTTTCAACAATGAATTTCTGGACTTCTTCTTCTACTACTAAATGTAGTATTCTAAGTGTACTTTGTTGTCGTTGAGTGGTTCATTGACACCGTGATTTGAAATAACGATACACCAATGAATATGATCGTTCTATTCTGAAAGAATATATTTCACTAATCTCGGATAATTTAGGGGAATAAATTCCTTAAGGACACACTATGCATTCAGTAGACTCAATTTTCTTCTTAGATTTTTTTTTTTTTTTGTATATTATCTCTAATATGTTTCAAATTCTATTTTCTTTACTAATATTAATTTTTTAATCTAAAATATACTTTTTAAACTTTCTTATTTTTTATCAAATTGTTCAAACATTATTGTTACAAGTATTATAATGTAGAGCAAAAGAATTACTGGAAGAAAAATGGGACAAAAGATCAACAAAGAAAAGGTTAGAAGTGAAAAAGTGGTTGTTATTATAAAAAATATACATTTTAAAATTTATTCTTTTAGAAAAAAAGAAAAAAAAACTACAACTGGATGAAGGGACATATCACATGAGTGGAATAGGTCAATAATTATAGTAGTTCCAAAGTCACTGAAACAGTGAAAATGCTTATCATATTCTTGTTGATTGCCAAATCTCACTTTGCCGACATCTAAATGAATAATGACAAAAAAAATAAATCAATCAATTGAAAATAAATTAATCATATTACCAACCTTTTATTAGGAAATTCGAATCGAGATGAAATTTTGATCATCTATAAAAATAAAACGAACTTGTAATAATTTTTCAAATCATTTTCTTCGTTCTCCGATCTGTTTAGTGTTTTCAAGTCATTTATGATTTGTTGGGACTGACAGTCGGTCGTCGGATCGTGACAGTGCTCTGATAAGATTTTCAATTTTTTTTTTTTTTGGGAAACAGATGATTAAATGTTGATCCTTTAGTAAACTAATTTATGTTACTAATTAACAGGAAGAAATAATTTGTTTAAATTTCATAAATAAAATAAGTTGTGTTATTCTAGTTTCACAAATTCTGCTAGTGGAAAGCTCAGCAAGCAGATAATAATGTGAAACATGTAGACAAATATAGATT